GCCATGGCAACCCACTCCAGTACTCTTGCCTGGAAAATCCCATGGACAGAGGTGTCTGGTGGGCTACAGTCCATGGGGTCGCGAAGAGTCAGACACGACTGAGTGACTTCACTTTCACTTTTCACTTTCATGCATTGGAGAAGGAAATGGCAACCCACTCCAGTATTCTTGCTTGGGGAATCCCAGGGATGGAGGAGGCTGGTGGGCTGCTGTCTATGGGGTCACATAGAGTCGGACACGACTGACGGGATGTGTTTGCAGCACCGGAGATCAGTTGGGGAGGCTTGCAGGCTCTAGAGCACAGGCTCAGTAGTTGTGGCACAAGAGCTAAGTTGCTCCACAGCATTCTGGCACCTTCCCAGACCTGGGATCAAACCCATGTCCCCCGCATTGGAAAGCAGATTCTTACCCACTGTACCATCAGGGAAGTCCCATATTTACTCTCAAAAGGGGTGACTGGAAGTGGCAGCTTTTTATTTGGAAAATATTTAGTAAGTATTTACTCTGTTCCAAGTCTGTTCTATGCACTGGAAATGCAGTAGTGAGTACAAAAGCCAATACCTCTACTACATGGAGTTTACATAATAATTAGAAGAGAGAGATAATAAGTACATTAACCAATCAGATGATGAAGATTCTGTAGAGAAAACATAATAAAGTGATGTGATGGAGAGTAAATCAGGGAGGTAGACAATGATTTTATTTCGGGGGCTGAAGAATACTACTAAGAAGGTGACAGGTGAACTGCAGTCTGAGTAGAGACCATGATCCAAACAGATGGAGGTCTAGAGGAAGAGAATTGTGGGAATAAAGAGATTTAGTTCAAAGGTTCATGGGCAAAAGCAAAGCCATTGCAGCTGGAGCTAGTGAACAAGGTAAAGAATGATATAGGATAAGTTCAAAGAGATGCATATTAAAAAGCAGAGACATTACTTTGCCAACAATATTAAAAAGCAGAGACATTACTTTGCCAACAAAGGTCCGTCTACTCAGGCTATGGTTTTTTCCAGTAGTCATGAACAGATGTGAGAGTTGGACTATAAAGAAGGCTAAGTGCCAAAGAATTGATGCTTTTGAACTATGGTGTTAGATAAGACTCTTGAGAGTCCATTGGACTGCAAGGAGATCCAACTAGTCCCATCCTAAAGGAAATCAGTCCTGAATATTCATTGGAAGGACTAATGCTTAAGTTGAAACTCCAGTACTTTGGCCACATAATGCAAAGAAGTGACTCACTGGAAAAGACTCTGATGCTGGGAAAGATTGAAGGCAGGAGCAGAAGGGTATGACAGAAGATGAGACAGTTGGATGGCATCACTGACTCTATTGACATGAGTTTGAGTAAGACCCGGGAGTTGGTGGTAGACAAGGAAGCCTAGTGTGCTGCAGTCCATGGGATCGCAAAGAGTTGGACATGACTGAGCGACTGAATGGAACTGAACTGAAAGAGATGCGTGTTTGAGGGGAGTGGAGGGATTGAAATTGGGCAGAGGCTGATAGACCAAGACCAATTACTTATAGTGTAACTTTGATTAAACGGATAATTTTCTTTCTACCAAGCAGTTTAGTTCAGCTCTTCTAAATGAATGCTTCTACATGGCAGAAATTGAAGAAATTAAAGGAAGCCTCAAAGAGGCAATGAGGAAATCTATGCTGCTGACTATGCTAAAGAGTCCATCAAAGAGAATCCCTGCCAAGAAATGAACACAGGTTCTAGGGAAGGAGGTTGCTTGAGTACATATGTTTTATTTCACTTCCTCCTGATTTGAGTGGAACTTAATTTATCATAACATTAAGGTTGTTTGGTGATCTTTGAGTTAGAAAGAAGTTAATGATACTCATCCAGGTGAGATAAAACTTCCCTTCCCACATGGACAAATTCCTCTTGGGTGGTTTTAATCATGACCTTCACCTTAGTGTCTCTCATCCTGGACATTGTTAGACAAATGCTATAAATTCTTGCTCTTGTGTCTTCCTTGAACACACAATCTAAAGTGGTCCCTGCCATCTGAGTCACTATCACATCAGGTATTTCAATTTTTTAAGCACTTTGCACTCTGAATGCAATTTTTAATAGGTTTCTTACTTACTGCCTATCTCCCTCCACTAGAAAGTGTTATGAGCTGTGTGATGTGTGTCATTAGTATGATATAGTGTGTAGTCTTTAACAGTGCAAGTTCTAAAGTCAAATTAAATAAGTTCAAGTCCAACCACAGATGTTTTCTAATTGTGATCTCTGGTAAATTATTTAAATTTTCCAAGCTTCAGTTAATTCTTCTAGAAAGCAGAAATAATACTATTGATTTTCATAAGTTTTCTTGGAGATTAAATAAAAACTTGCTTTTGCAGCACCAGCCAAATCATAGTAAGTAACAGTAGCTTTTACTACAATCACTAATTATTGTGCTACAGATTTCTATTTTGTCATACAAAGTTTATCGGATGTTAGGATCTTCCTGAACCTGACTTTAACTTTGGAGATGTTAACATTTTAAGGTGAATTGTTTAGAAAGTGAATCCCATGTTTCTTGCATTAATTTAGGGGGGTTTACTCTTAGAATTTTGAAAGGTCCTCATGACCTCCTAATAAAATAACCACATAGAGTTGAAAAATAAATGTCAATCATACAGTGTTTTTTTTTTTTTAAGTCAGATATAAATGGGAAACTGAGGAGGATATGAAGGAAGTGGCAAAGATAGTGTCATTTGTTATGCACCCACTGAGTGAAAAGCACTGTCATGGATATTTTGCATACAATGTCTTTATCTAAAGCTTGAAATAGACCTATGAAATTACCTACCATTTCATCGCACATATGAACTGAGACTAAAACAAAATCCCATGAGCTTATGAAATGCATGTACTGTTAAATAAACTAATGAGGTAGAATCCAGTGCAAGCTCTATTCATTCAAGGGAAAAAGTTATCTACACAGTATTGCTCATATAAGGACACATCATTTTCATCTAAGGAACCAAGGTAAGATCCATGGAGGTCCCGATCTGGAAGGAATGATGCTCTTGCTAGTTCAAGAAGAGATACAATCCCAAATCTGGCTTTACTGGAAGGAAGGTCAGAACCAGTCAATAACTTTTTCCTTTTAAAAACATTTTTATCACATTTACCATGACCTCTTCAAGCACTTAATATCTGTAAACCCACTTAACTGGCCCCATATCGTTATGAGATAGTCATTATAGCTACTGTTGCTGCTGCTGCTGTTAAGTCACTTCAGTTGTGTCCTACTCTGTGCGACCCCATAGAGGGCAGCCCATCAGGCTCTCCCGTCCCTGGGATTCTCTAGGCAAGAACACTGGAGTAGGTTGCCATTTCCTTCTCCAATGCATGAAAGTGAAAAGTGAATGTGAAGTCACTCAGTCATGTCCGACTCTTCGTGAGCCTATGGACTGCAGCCTACCACACTCCTCTGTCCATGGGATTTTCCAGGCAAGAGTACTGGAGTGGGTTGCCATTGCCTTCTCCCAATAGCTACTGTAGTTATAGATAAATAAAGTATGATGTAGAAAGATTAAATAACTTTCCCAAATAAAATGAAAACTCAGGAAATCTGACTTGAGTCAAGTCTTACCACTGCTCTATACTACCTTCTCTACACAAATATCTGGTCATATTCTGGTTGCCTGTTGTGCTGATCTCAAGTTAATAAAATGACTATTTGTTCCTACAATCAGGGAGGTTTAGGGTAAATCATAGCTATAAATGTATCAGCCCCAAAGTCTAAGGGACATGAGGCCAATGGAAATCAGAAAAGCAGGAAAGAGTGGTCAGTAATGACCGAGAATATTGGGCCCCTAAGAAATATTATAAGGGCAGTCAGCTCAGAGCCTTACTTTTCACAGAAGATGCAGAGAAATCATGTATTATCTCTCCTAATGCTCAGAAATATTAGATTAATGAGTGATTCTATATAGTTACAGAGACTCCAGCAATGATATTCGTGAGAGCTAATAGCTATGGAACACTTATTAGTAACAAAAAAATCCATGTGGATTATTTATTTAATCTTGATAAAGTTTCTGTCATTCTCCTTTAACTCAGAAAGATGTGATTTGCCAAAGCTCATACTCTATGTGGTAAAAACTAATTTTTTATCTCAAATCTATCTTACTCAGAGACTACTCTTAACCATTATAGAATATCAAACCCTATCACACATTCCTCCAAATGTGCATATAAAAATGATACAAAAAGTCTCTTTCACAGAGAAAAAATGCTTTTACAAGCAATGTTCTCAATATGAATGGTTGAGATTACAATAACAATGAATTTTATTAATAGTCCAAATAACTTAGCAAGAATAAATGATAGATCTTCCCTTTGTAAGCACAAAGAGGAAAACAACAACAACAACACACCATAAGTAGCAAAATATTTAAAAAGTATAGAAATAGAAGAAGGAGAATAAAGACCAAAAACATGTCTATTTTCTCAGAATACTATATTTCTTGGTTTGCAGCGCAAAAGTAGTAAGCATGCATTGCATGATCTATGAAGAACTGAAAGTTTTATTATTCTCATAACATATGCTATGAAAGATAATCCCCAGTAAATTCTTTAATCAGGTGATCCATTAATTGTTTGAGGATGCATACGTTATCTAGTGCACTATTATTCAAAGTGTATGCATAAATCACCCACTTAGAAACATCTGTAAAAATTTATTTAGAATGTAGATATGCCAATCCCATAGTCCTATTGAATTAGAATCTCTGAGAATGTACATTTTAATAACTATTCTGAATAATTCTGAAAGTATACCCAAGTTTGACAACCAAATGGGCACTAAATAAATCTAAATATGGTATTTGGAAGTGATAAATAATTTTCTGCCTGAAACGTTACTCAAAGGATTTATATGCCAACACCAACATAATTTTACATATGGTATTCACTTGGCGCTGAACCAAAGAAATGATATCATCTTTGTATTTAAAAGATAAAGTCATTTTATGCTGCTGTGATTATTTCTCAGGTGAAATCACATTTTGATCCAGAGCTTCTTCATAGCATTTTTCACCTCTGCATTTCTGAGGGTGTAGATTAAAGGATTTAACATAGGTGTTATCATGGTATAAAACACAGCCACAGCTTTATCAATGGAAAAGGTGATCACTGGATACATATATACAAGTATGCAGGGTGCAAAAAAGAGAATGACCATGGTGATGTGGGAGACACAGATGGAGAAGGCTTTGCATCTTCCCCATGAGCTATAGATCCTTAGGGAGCACAAGATGACCACATAGGAGACCATCAAAAGGAGGAAGTTCAACAGGCAGATGAACCCACTGTTGGCAGTAACGAAGAGACCAAGGGAATGAGTCTCCATGCAGACCAGTTTCAACAAAGAGTTCAAGTCACACATGGAATGATCTTTGACATTAGGGCCACAGAAGGGCAGCCAGACTGTAAATAGGATCTGAATGGCTGCGTGGACAAAGGCTCCAGCCCAGGCCCCTCCCACAAGAAGGCTACACACCTTCTGGCTCATGATGGTCATGTAGTGCAGGGGTTTACAGATGGCCACAAAACAGTCATGGGCCATTGCCATGAGAACAATAATCTCAGCAGCACCAAAAAGATGCTTGGCAAAGATTTGAGTCATACACCCCCTAGAAGAGATAGTTTTTCTCATTGTAAGGGAGTCAACTAACATCTTAGGCGTCAGGGAGGAAGAACAGCAGTCATCTATAAGGATAAATGAGACAAGAAGAAGTACACAGGGGATCCTAAGGCTGTGCTGGCACTGATGGTGGTCATGATGAGCAGGTTGCCTGCCAAGGTGACCAAGTAGACAATTAAAAACACAGCAAAGGAAATTTCTGAAGCTTCACAGTTTGAGTCCAAGTGAAAGTATAGGTGGTATTTACTTTGTTCTTTATAATTTACTAACTTGTTTTTAACTTTCGGTGACAAAAAAATGTGCAACTTTTAAAATCAGAGAAGAAGAAAACACATAAAGCTTCAAGAGCCAATCCATGATGTGGCCACATAGGTGGCACATTCACAAATACCCAAAGATGTATGAATTCTGTTCCTGGAAAGGCTGGGCATGTCGACCAGTGAGAAACAAAGTGACTCAAAAGATAAGATCTTCATGAACCATATCTTTTCCTACTTTGCCTGTCTGATAGCTTCTCCACTTCCTCAAGACTGAGAAATGGTGCCTCTTCCAGATCTCAGAGGCTGCAGTCAACATCCATTATAGCCCTGGTCACACTGTTTCACACTTGTATCTTTTTTTCAACAGTGTGTGCCATTGAAGGCAAAAATATGCATTATTACAATTGCAATCTTATTCATAAACTGTTTTTCCTCTCCTGATCAAAAAGTAAACATTTACTGAGAGACAGAAATAAAAAACTAAAAAAGAGGAAAAGAGAAAGTGGGAGAGAAAAAAGAAGAAAGGTAGTTAGAAATACATTAAAGAGCAAAGAAAGAGGAACTTAGAAATCCAAAGCCTTAGTTTAAATCTGGGACTTATATCTTATTAACTATATAATATTGATTCATTTAATCCTTCTTTTCCTCAATTTTTTCACCTGTTAAAGGAGGGTTATATATTACTGTGTTTAGGGTTACTGTAAAGATTAAAATATTTTAAACATTATTATTTTGTTGTTGTATGATTTAATTCTTTTCATGAATTTATCACTAAAGAAAACTTCAAAATTCTCTCTAAACATCTCCAAAAGGCAAAGATTCTGTAAATGCAAACTAACCAGTTGAGGAGAACACGGATATATGTCAAAAAGGAGGATCGTCAAATTTAAAAAACTGAAGCAAGCTATTAATAGAATCTTTAAAATAAAGATTTAATTATTGCTTATTTGTTTTACTTTTTGTGTGTTTTCCTTCATTATTTGTTTCTTTAACTCATTTGCTAAAACCATATTCCAATACATAAGTAATTTAGTCCTTCCAGTTTCAGCTTATGACTGGGTGTGGAGTTTTCTGGGAAAAGAGGAACTTTAAACTTAACTGATTATTCAAATAAAGAATTCGTAGAAGGGAGGACAAATACACCTGTGACTGATTCGTGTCGATATATAGCAAAAACCATCACAATATTGTAAAGTAATTAGCCTCCAATTAAAATGAATAAATTATATTTTTTAAAAAAGGAAAAGGAAACATACAGACCAAAGCAAAAATAAATAAATAAATAAATGTAAGTGGAATATAACCTTTAAAAAACAAGCAAAAGACTTCATAGAATGTAGTCTTATGATGTATTTATTTTTTCCCAATATTTGGTATTATAAAGCATTTAGTGACAGAGACAGGAAATGTGGAGAGAAAGAGACAGGAGAGGTGAGGGAAAAGGTGAAAGGAAAAAACAAAGAAAGAAAAAGATAAAAAGGGAAGAGGAAAAAGAAGAAAAAGGTCATGCTGCAGAGTGATCTGAGAAAGACATTTTGAAGCAGGTGCTTTGTAATATAGCCAACAAGTGCTGCACTTGAATTCCAAACTATTTAACTTTTTTATCTTAACCACTAAGATCAACAACACACAAAAGATAATGACAAATAATTCATCAGTTGTTCTTACATGCAAAATGATCAGAAAAAACGTTATTTTTGCCCAGTTCAGTCCTGAGGGTTTTAAACTACTGACCTATCAATATTCAGTCCTTTGGAGGTTCAATAATATTTAAAAGAAATTCCATCAGGGTTTTCTTCAACCCAAGGTGTGTGTAATCAGAGTCATGAACATGTTAATTTACTGCAAAAATTTTTTTTAAAAATCAAATTGTTTCCATAAAAGAAAACCCTGAAGTAAAATTTCTAAAAAGAGAGCTGTACTCCTCTTACATATCAATTCACATTAGGTCCTGTCTAAGACTTCTCATCCTGGCCTGACTTGTTCAGCTAATAAACTAGCCCAGACAGAAGACACACGCACTTTGTATTTAAAAGGAATTTGGGTTTTCGAGAGAGAGGAAAGATTTCAGCAGCTGTAGAACATTTCTATTTCTTTAGGACTCATAGATGTTTGTAATATTTTCAATTTGGGCTCAGACAGTAAAAGCATCTGCCTGCAATGCAATGCAGGAGACCTGGGTTCAATCCCTGGGTCGGGAAGATACCCTGGAGAAGGAAAAGGCAACCCACTCCAGTACTCTTGCCTGGAAAATCCCATGGATGGAGGAGCCTGGCAGGCTACAGTCCATGGGATCGCCAAGAGTCAGATATGACTGAGCGACTTCACTTTGGTCTGCTAGGCCCTAAGAACATAATAGCCATATCTAACACTAAAAAAAAATAAATAAATCCAATTATAAAAATTAGCAGTGGATTAAAAGTACTTTGGGTTAAAAACTTCTAGAAGCCATTTCTTCCAACTTTTTTCAGATCATCTACAATCAATGAAAAGTCAAGTATTTTGGTCCTTGGGACTCAACCTGCCATCTCTCATCATTTCACTAAACACCATGGCTAGTCACAAAGAATATCATTGCCTTTGTGCTTCACTCACCAAAAAACCTTCACATTTCTTCTCAAATCCTTCAATTCTTGCAATATAGAGACACTAATTTTATTCAAGTGGGTGACTCACCTCAGTTATTTCTCAAGGGAAGAGTAATTAACTTAGGGAGACTTTGCCAAAATGACAACCAAATGCCTTTCCCTTCCCTCTATGGTTCCTCTGAGCAGAGAATGATATCTCTGACAAGAGTTAGAATTCATCTGTAGGAATGGGATCACCAGGCTACAGTCAGAACTTGGAATCTTCATTTCATTTTTTTTTCAATAAATGTTCGTAGAATATCTAAAATGAACCAGGCAGTTTTATTCAATAATAAAAATGATAGCAAACTATTGAGTGCTAAAGGTGAGACTATATTAAACACACTATGTGAGGTACAAATTTTGGTGGGTCCTATTATTATCCCACTTTACAAATGATCTTTATGAGTTTAGATAATTTACCCAAGGTCAAAAGTGAGTAGTGGAAGAACTGAAATGTATATACAAATCTGCCTCCAAAGCCTCAATAATATTCCTACCATCATGATGCAAGAATTCAAATATTAAAAAAGAGAGATAGATAGAGAGTAGAAAAGTGTGTGTGTGTGTGTGTGTGTGTGTGTTTATTCGTGTGTGTCAAGTGTGTATCTGTTTGTGTCAAGTAGGATGGAAGTGAAATGCTCAGGTAAGGTTTTCTTTAAAAAAATTGATATTGAAGTTGAAGCCAAAAAATATTATCCAAGGCCTGGATTAAATAAATTGAGATTTTAGGAATATTGACAGGTTTAAGAATTGAGCCAGACTCTATCATTGTTGGATAGTGAAGAAATTTTCTCTGTGAGTCTACCCAGTACATTGGCAATTCCATCCTGTTATGAGCCAATTCCATTCAACTGTATTTTTTGAAACACTCTTTAAGCATACCACGTGCTTTCACTATCATTAATAATTAGCTGGAAATTGCATAAGAAGAAGAGTTCAAATTCAGTGAGCAACTGAAAACCAGTTATAGGTGATTCACTGAAATATGAATAAAGACAGCTTAGTTAAAGCCACTTGGCTGTTAGGTAAGCACAGACCCAATCTCTAACCTAATCTGTGCTGTCAGTTTTACCTTGAAATGAATTACTCAAGCTTCCTTAGCCTGTTTTCCTCATCTTCATTGTTTCAAGGATTAAACAGACAAAGAGTAAAAAAAAAAAAAAAAAAAAAAAAAAATGGGAGCCATGTTTTTGCTAACTTAGAAAAGCAGGATCCAAACTCTAGATAAAATTTCCATTAAAATTTTGAGAATTTGTTTTCAAGTGACTAAAGAAATGTACCTTCTCTGACATTCCTCATAAATTATTTCCCATCACACAACAAATATGGTCACCCTTTCTCCCTGGAGCTTTTTGTCCTGCAGGTCACCAGTGCTGAATTCTGCAGTATTTTGGGGGAAACCTGTGGTCTTAGGCAGTGTTCATGGTAATATTTCAGAGCTGATGTTGGTTCACAGATTTCTGGGTGGTTCCATGTTTTATATGCTATTGACAATCTACTATAAGGACTAGTATACAATTCCAATTGTACAGGTGTAAACTGTTTCTTGGGTACACATTTACTAGGTGAACCTAAGAATTAAGGTTATGTGAATGTTTAGATAAAACTAGATAAAACTTATTTGTGAAGTATTTGTATCAATATATACTTCCAATAGCAATGTAAAAGACACCAGTTTGTTCATATACTCTACATCAGACTGTCTCATACAATTCAATATCAAAAAACAAACAACCTAACTAAATAATGGGCAGACAACCTGAAAAGACATTTTCAAGGCAGAAGACTTGAGAAGACATACAGATGGCCAACTGCCACATGAAAAAATGCTCAACATCACTAATCATCAGGAAAATGTATATCAAACCCACAATGAGGTAGCACTTCACTCACATCTATCAGAATGGCTCCCTTCAAAACACCACAAATAATAAATGTTAACAGGAATGTAGAGAAAACAAAAACTTAGTACATAATTTGTAGTTTTTTGTTTTGTTTTGTTTTTTCTGTAGTTTGGTGCAGACACTATGGAAAAGAGTATGGATGTTACTGAAAAAACTAAATACAGAAATACCATGCTGCTGCTGCTGCTAAGTCGTTTCAGTCGTGTCTGACTCTGTGCGACCCCATAGACGGCAGCCCTCCAGGCTCCTTTGTCCAAGGGATTCTCCAGGCAAGAACACGGGAGTCGGTTGCCATTTCCTTCTCCAATGCATGAAAGTGAAGT